GCTCCCGAAGCACTACCCTGCATCATTCGAACGCTTCACCCGTGCAGAGGCATTTTGACTAATCCTGGATGAATAAGCAACAGTCATCATCACTCAACTAACAAAAGGGTAAGCCTGTTTTCTGGGAAACAGCCTCATAAACATCGCTGGTCTTCTAAGGTGCCGAGCACCTCCTGAAAATTGCTGGAGCCTCCTCCATCTAACTCTGGATGGCACAAGCAAGAAGGATATACCCAGTTCCCAACACCCAACAGACCCAGGTCCAGAGCCTAATCCAAGTGGAGCAACGGAGGCCCAAATAACGTCATTCCTATCTAACAGCACTTGGAGTCTGTACTTTCAGCCTTTCGGACTCTTCACTGTAGTTCCTCAACCGTTAGATCTCTTCCAGCTGCTTACACAAGGATGCCAACGTGAAGAGAAACGTTATGGAGCACATGGAGCAAAAGTAGACTATAAAAAACTTAGCCAATAAAATAATTCACGTAATTGCTGGAAAACAAGGAACACTGGTTGCCTCTCATCTTCAACATAAATTGAGCGACAAAGATCCTTTGTGGAAGAAACAAAGGGTTTCACAGAAGCTAAGGCGCCCACTCCATCTGCTGCCCTCAACTTCAGGCATCATGGAACTTTTCTTCGGAAAGATGTTTCGAGAGAATCCATCCTCTACGGGCTTATCTCTCGGGGTCACAGTGGGTAGCGCAGGCTGCCCAGCACACTCTTCCACCTTCCCCTACGAGCACATAAAAAGAGCTGAAGCAGAGCTGTGAAAGCACAGATCAGCACTAGCACAGAGCACAAACATAAATGTTTCCCAGTGCCCTCATGTCTTGGAAAGTGCTTACAGCAGCACAGTGCCACATGGGGGACAAAGCAAGGATCACCTTGAGGTCTGTACAGAAGAGCGAGTGTCTTGCTTGCAGGAAACAAAGAAAGGGCTAACATACCACTGCTCTATTTTTGATGCCCCTATACAGTCTCTTCTCCCCCCGTCCACCTGGAGCCACCTTTGGCTCCAGCCTCCTGTGCTCTTGGATCGAGTGGCACAGACCACGCTTCCCGGGCTAACAGAGCAGGTTCCTCTCTGTGCAGTCTCAGAGGCAGGAACCTGCAGGTCAGGAACCTCCAGAGTTCGGTTGCAAAAGCCTTGAAAGGGCAGAGAACAGAGTCCCTCTGAACACCGGGATGCATTTCCAGCCTCCACCGCATGCTGCATAAACTCACCAGGTTAAGAGGCAGTTTAAGAGAAGAAAACAAAGAACACAAACAGAAGCAGGCAGAGGACTCACTGAAGCACATACCCAGTGGCCAAGTCTTGAGTGTGAGCCTTGTGGGAGACTCAGTCCTGCGGCTCTCCTGAAGCCAGGCCAGAGGGGAAACGCAAGCCCCTTGTTGTGTCCAACACACACGGACTGTGTAACCCAGCTCTTAAACGCAACAAACAGAACACCAAGACCTTGGCTGGAGAAGAGTATTTACGGCCTCTTTAAGGGTGGTTGGAAAGAAAAGGGCTGGAAATTTGCCAGTGATAAGAGGACATTGTCAGGAGTTGAACTTTCTAAACTCTCTAAGTTTTGAACACTTGGTTCCCATTAGAAAACCGATGGGCACTGGCTGTTCAATTGCTTCCTTGGCTTGGAAGACTCTTATCCTTCCAAGCAAGACTTTTGCTCACTGCTGCTGAATTTTTCTGGGTCCTATGATCCTCGACTTTAGAAAGGAATCAGTGGCTGGGAGGGAACGTTGTCCTGGAGGCTTGCCCGATTCATCCAGCCATCGGCACTAAGTTACTTGTTGAGGCAAATGTCAGACCAGTGAATACTTCAGACAGAGACAGTCATGAGTTCAAGTCTTTTGATTCTGCCATGGAGACAGAAGGCAGGGTACCATGGCAAGGGCTGGTACTCCGAGCTGGGCAGCTCTTCCCTCTCCAACCTCTAGTGCTTGCGCCATCTCCTGACTTCACTTAGGACCCCCTACGCATTTTGGCAGCCTCCCTAAACAAATGGGCTATATATACTACTCCAGGAAGCTGTCACACTGTGGCCAAGACAATAACTGCATCGATCAAGCGAGCCCCCCCAAAGAGTAAAAGTGTGCCCGCTTAAGTGCCTGGAGCGAGAAGGGCAGACGGAAGAAACCTCCAAGCTATATTTCCAGGCTGCCACATGGGGACAGAAGCCACATGCTGTAGCTGGCTTTCTACACTGCCTCCTAACATGTGCCATACTAAAGTGGGGAGATGGTAGCATAAACTCAGCCTCATACAGAGAGGACAGAAGAGGGTCGCAGAGACTGTCCACGCTGCAGTTATCTGTGCCACTTGGAAACTCCAGGTACTTATAGCCCCACCAAGCTAAACGGCAGTGCTACCAGATTGGGATCTGCCTGGGAGCTCAGCATCTCTGCTGCAGCTGCAGTGTGAACGAGTTCACCGAGAGACAGAAGCACATCATTTATTTCCACTGAAATGAATGACCATAACATTGAAAATAATCCTCAGCTTATTTTCACAGAACTGCACAAGCAATAATGAAACCTTATCTCTGTTGTGAAATATATGGAGGGAAACTCCCCTTCTGGAGATCCTGCTTCTTTCTGAGATACCATTATCAGAGGAGTAGAAGTCCTGAGCTTCAAGACACCAGCATGCTTGAAACCCCAATGCTGGGAAAGCATTCTTGCAGGACACCACGAGCACAGGTCACCCCTATTTTACTGCTGAGGAAACTGGAGATCTAATTGCTGTGTTTTCCCCAAAGTCTGGAATGCAAAGGGTGGTTAGAAATCTGGAGCTTCTGGCTCCAGATTCATTCACCTTGCTGGATCACATACATAGCCTACAGGAAAATTAATAAAGTGAGAAAACTGGCTTTTAACCCCCACGTCCTGAGGCTTTAGAGGATTACATTTAGCATACATTCAAGACAATCTGTGTAGCACACAGGTCTTGCAAGCAAGCAAACGTACTGTACCCAAGATAAATGATTGTTAGACAAGACACTCATGGTCAGACAGCAAAGTGCTGGCATAACTGCCCACCATTTTTTACAGCTGTACAAAGAAATAAGGAAACAACTGCTCACTGTAGCCATGATTTGTGATGGCATGTGGATTAACACTAAACTAGGAGCAAATAGCACCAAAATTCCTGCCAACCTCTACAATCCCCAACCTCCAAATTTAGCTTTGGTCTAGAGACTCCTTTCCAGCGGCACCAAGCAACTGTTTGCACTCGCACAGCTTCCCATACCATCCACAGTAACAAGATTTTAAGACCTTAAGTTTCTAGTGTCTCAACTTAACTGGCCTTACGCCCAGCTTAATCCAATGCTACCCAATTTAGCACAAACTCTGCATGTATCCTGTAAGATGTGTGTGGATTGACAGAAGTTCAACCTTTGGTCCTTGTACCTTCTTCCCAGGCAAATTGAGCAGCTTTGCTGTTCTGCACATTTCCTACTGCACTGGCTGCCTCTCCCTGGTCCACAGGCCCCTGAACTCGCTGCCTAGCCCCCGCCCCGGGGAGCTGCGAGCGGAAACCTGCAGCCAGCGGCCGAAGGGCAGCTCCAGCTCCACACTTACCCGCAGATCAGGAGGGTGAGAATCCAGGGACTGGTCACGGCTTGTTGCAGGACAAGGCACTTTGCCTGCCTGCAAGCCAAGCACGTGCACAGCTTCTCTTCACTGAAGTAGGGGCAAGCTGTACACACCTTTCCTCCAGGCTCCCTCTCCTGCCTAGATGGTGAACTCTTTGGCGACAGGGATTTTTCTATGGCCGCTTACCGCAACGCAATTTTGGTCTCGCCTGGGAGCCCTATAAACGAGCATGCTACTAATAAAGTATCACAATGCTTTTGGCACAGAGAGGAATAGGATGGAGATCACAGCTCAGCTGAGGTTCCCATCTCACAACCCTCACAACCCCCCCCCCCAATCCACTCAGGTAATTCACACTTGGTCTTATTTGCTGCAACCTTAGGTAAAAATTATTCCAGTTGAACCAGCAGCCACCTGTTGACTGGAGGGGTCAGGCCCCATAGGCTCTCCAGGAAAGCCACTGGGCAAGGAAACGTCTCAATTATAACGTTAAGTCACTGCCTCAAAAGCATGACAATCTTTCAAAAACCCTGAAAAACAAAGCCCTGAACCTGGCACCCCACAAAGTGCTGTCAGTATTGCCATACCTCAACCAGTCACAACAATGCCTGGCATTTGCACAGCGCCTACCACAACAGGACTCCTCATCTGTGATGGGGCTCTCTGGAGTTACAGCACTACAAAGGATCGTCTTCATCTGCCCCCATGAGCCGTGCAGACGCAGGGGCTCCGGCCGCGAGCACAAAGCTCGCATACACATGTGGACATGAACGTGTCCCCTGTATGTTTACATGTTTGCGAGCCCACAGAAACCAACTGGCACCTGAGCCACTGAGCCTGTGCGGTGTAAAAGGAGAAGAGTCTTGCTGGTCCCCAAGGGCCAGGGGGTATCTCGGAGCAGTTCTGGTATCTAACACGCAGCCTCAGGAAGAAGCCACGTGTGCAGGTGCCCAGTGGGCTGAAGGCTCATGCTGCAGGGCTGAGGCTGGCCCATTCGGATGCGCGTCCAGCGGGACCAGCTGTAGAAACACAGAGACCTCTGATGTTTTCTTTCAATTCTAATTCGGGTCTCTTCCCACAGCCTCACCTCACACCAGCTCCCTGTGCTTTACTATCTCCAGGGACACCACAGAGCCTAACAGGGATCCTCCCAAAGTTACGTCATCAGACTGACCAGAAGAGTCATCTCCAGTAAGATACTCCACATCATGTGTGGCACTTGGTGCCAAACAGCCCTTCCTCTGCAGCATGTGCAGGACACAGGGAGCTGTCTCAAATCCAGATGTTCTCCTAATTTAGCACCGCTGAACTTAGCCACACAGGTCACTGTGTCGACACGTGCTCACCGTACAGAAGCTTTTATAAAATGTGATGTGTGAGCTCCAGTTCTCTCTTACCTCTATGCCTGTTGGTAGTCTTGTCAAACATAAGCATGGCATCCTCTACCTGCAAGACAGAAGAGGGGAAACGCAGGCTTTAACACACCAGCTGCACAGTTCACAGAGACACAAACACACAGGATTGGGAAGGAGAAACAGAGGCACGAGCAGTCTCAACTCAGGTACAAACGATTCATCAAATCTCCTCTCTTCTTCTTGGAGTCAGTTCCTGCTTTTGGAAATCTGCTGCTTTCAACACACATCCTAGCTGGCATTTGATCGTAAAGCAGAAAAGTGAACTTAAGAAGTTTGTTGTCCTAAAAAGCCAAACATCTAAGCAGCTTTTCCAGCTCTCATCTGTCCCTCGCCAGCCCCCATCTCAGCCTTCTTCCCTTTTGTAGTGAGATAAGGAAGGGCCAAGAGAGGAACTGTGGATGCAAATCAAACCCATGCCTTGCCTTCTCCAAATGAGAGTCACTGTCTTGGCTGAGAATTAGGAGGTTTCAAGAAGTATGAGCAGGGCAAGATCTGGTCAGCCAAGAAAGGTATTCAGAGTTTTCAAAAGGCCTTTTGAAAAGCTAGAGGAAGAGGGGAGAGGGAGGAGGGAGAAAGTTTAATTCGCATCAGGCTTGGCATTTCCACTTCAGAAGAGAGAGATGACTGATGCAACGTACTGAAGTGCAACCAAATTGCTTTCAACTTTCATTACTATTTGCATGATTTATTCCACCTCCATTTAATCTGTGCAACCACACCTAAAATTTTACACTTATTTCAGAAGGATGCTGTAACTGGGGTTTATTTGTCAGCGTTATCACATTTTAAACTGCTGCTCAGAGCCTGCAGGAGCTGAGGCAGGCCGGTCCCGCGCGCTGCAGGCAACGTCCTGCACAATCTTTCTGCAAAAGTTGTAGACTTTCTATTGCTTGTTTTAAACTAGGGCTTGATGAAAACCTGCATCACCGCTGAATTGTGGCAGATATTGGGGGAAGGAGGAAGAACTTTGAAGAAAAGCTTTTATTCTGTAAATTCTGTTTTTGTAAATTCTGATTCTGTTTACTCTGTAAAGGATTCCACTGGTTGTTTGGGGATGTTTTTTGTTCTTTGCTTGTTTATATTTTTTTTCAGTAATTTCTACAAGATTTTCATTTTCTTGTTTTCTGGATTCTGGAAGAAGTGCTGCATGGAAAAGTGGGAACACTTTAGTAGCAGTGCCAGCTTCTGCTAGCTTAATATGATTCTGGAATTGCAGCAGTATTTGAAAGCCTCCAGCTGGTTAAAATTCATGGTTCAGGGAGTATAGTCTGACTGCAGTCCTCTTATGCAGGGGGCACACATTCAGCACACTTTTGTGCCAAATTACAGTCCCATTCTTGGCTGGGCAGACACATATATTGGGGTAGGTAGTAAAAAAACCCAACTTCAGCTTCTCTTAACTACTGTATTAAAATATGTTCCAGGATATAGTAAAAAAAATATAGTGCAACAAAACCTTACACTAGACCTAGACTCATTTGAAAACCTATCTGGTTAACTTGTTCCTAACTTTCTTTAGTCAAAGCGGTTTGCAAAATGTTTTAGCAACGGCCCGAGATGGAGGAGAATAATATGCCTCCCTAATTCTGTTTAATCCTTAATATCCATCTCAAATGAGACTTAAAGACGCTGACGTAATGAAAAATACAAACTAAATTAAGCACAGAGTCATTTGTCCTGCTGTCTTTCTTCACTTCAAGGAGGAAAACTCACAGGTCTGAGTAACAGCAGAAGGCAGATAAGGACGAAGCTACCCTTTACCTTCCCACCACCACTTTTTTCTGCTCTGGGGTTACATTTGCACAGTAATGTTTACTTTTCATTCTCATCGGTCTTGGCCTCACCGGAACCAAAAATCCCACGATACACCTAATGCCATTTCCTAGAGCATCATAACTCCCTCTCAACCTCAGTCCACGCAAGTGTGCTGACCACCCTTGCATCCCCATGCTCATCAGTCTGCTCCAGAGGTTTTCCAGTGCAATTCTTCCACCATAAACTCCTTGCCTCAAATCCCATACTAGGGCCAGAGGAGACCAGGAAGGTCTCGGATGCATCGTGGTGCAAACACGGCCACGCTGGGGAAGTTCTCTGCCCTAACTCATAGGCTGCAGCTGTGAACAGTCTCACCAGCTACATCCGCGCTGAAAAGGTACATCACTGCAAAATGACACCTCCTCCTGGAAGGTTATGAATTACCGGGGACTTTGAAAAGCCGGGTTTTATTACTTCTAGGGGGAGAGGAGAAATAAGACGATGCATGACAAGACTCTAATCTCTTTTTGCTTTAGCATGGTTGTGTCTCATCCAGAAGCCTTCCAGCAGGCGGAAACCTGAACTGCTGCTGTTTAAAACCCTTTCTCAGGCTCAGCTATGGCTTGCAGCAGCAACACCACAGGTTTTAACCTCTTATGCAGCCTCATCACACTCCTCCAGGCAGAGAACGGACAGGTCCTGGCCCTGGATGGGGACTCTGGACGTCTGGTACAGTGCCAGGTTATATGGGGACCTGCAGCTTGGTTCACCTCTCTCACCTCTACAACATGATGTGCCTTCTCACCCATCAGATGCAGGTCCTCTGGGCAAAAAGAGCTTTGTACCTTGTGTACTAAGGCCCTGCTCCACTGGGATGATGATCTTGGCAGAGATCTTTTTAATGCAAATAAATTCTTATTAGCAGTTACAAACCAAGTCTGCATGGGCTAATCCAGGAGATTTCCATCACGCTGGCTGCAACCCAGTACACTGCAGATACCCCCCAGAGATGGGTGCTTTATTCCTCCAAGGAGGGATATCTACTTCTGGGACCCAGACCAGGCACGCAGCTCTATAGGAGAGGGCCAGTCCCACAAGTTCAAATCTGAAAACCTGAAAGCAGTGGAGGAAGCAGGCCTCTGCAGCTGAGTTTCAGATTTGGACCAAACATTCCTTTAAAGAAAAAACATAATCAGTGGGGTGTTCTTTAAGCCAGCTGGTGCCCTTTCAATAACGTCTAATTGGTTATCTTTTCTGTTTCCTAAGGTCAGAACATTTTATCTCCGTCTCTGCCCTTTCTGAGTTTACCCCACCCTGCGTTATTTTTTAGGGCAGCCATTGTAACAGAAGAATAGTCTCTTTCCTCCATAGTCCAGTGACACAATGAGACTTCTCGAAACCTCCTGAATAGATAAAGTGCAATGGCTAAAGAAAAATTCTATTAACGCCTTGCAAAATAAAACATCTGAGAGCTGGTTAGACAAGCAAGAGGAGAAAATCAATATGGAGAGGGCAGTGTGCTTAGAAAAACTTTTCACTAGTTGCAAAAAGGTGGCAAGGGTATGGGAAGGAGGGGGAGAAAGAAACTTATTAATTCAGAAAACCCATCAATGGTATGGAAATCTGGCAGAACAGCAAGAACTGAAACTAGAAGAATTTGAATATACAAAGGGCTGAATAGAATGAAAAAAACCACACTGCCTCACACACACAGCTCGTTTCTCACGGTTCTCTGTGAATCAAACACAAGCGGCTTGTTCAAGTTTTCATCAGGGAGAAATAAGGGACACAGTCAAGGTAACCGGCAGTAAACCCTATAGTAAGCAAATTGATCCCTTAAAAAAAAAAAAAGATGAAACTCAAGTAGATTTAGTAGCTGTGACTGTCCACAAGTTAACCCCTTCCTTCATGATGAGGGTCCTTTGTTTGCCCAGTGTATTAAAGATGGTCGGACAGCAAGTTTTCCAGCTTTCCCCTAAAAATATGCAACTAATACCATGCTTACAAAAAAGGAGAGTTTTATCCAGGGGGAAGAAATAGGACCGGAAGATGCAATCTCTCCTCCTAGTTTTGGCTGTGCTACTGCTTCTCCACTACAGCCAGGACCAGTCAGTCACCTATTGTACAGCATCAGGCAAACCAACAGACCTCAAATGCACTTTTTAATGACAGAAAAACACTACCCCCCATATTACTGAGAGGGAAGTTAGCGCAGGAAGCTTTACCCAACAGGAAGATCATCCACCCATGCTAATGTGCAGGGACCTTACAAGGATCAGGCAGAGTTTCAGGTTCACCTGCATCAGCTAGGAAGTGCTGCTGAAGACCAGAGTAACTACACTTCCTGCAGCATTCGCGTGAACAGCAGCTTCACCTTCCCATCAGTGCTGTAAGCGCGCGGGGTCAGCGCAGAGCTGTTCTGCCCACTCTCAAATACCAATGTCGGATAAGTCTGCTGCACCCCAGGCAAGCACCTCCGGAGCTGCAGCTCAAACCGCACAGACTCAAGGTTTTAGCAGCAAGTCCTGAGCTCAGCCCCGGGACCAGCTACGAGGGCAGCCCCCTCTGCGCAGCCCCCTCTGTTCCCTCTGCGCATGTGAAAAAAACATAGCAAAGAACTAGAGAAGTCGAGCCACCAAACACAAAGCAACATCGCACCTGGCCTGTGTGGGACCCTCGTTAAACTCTATGAATCGAGCCTAGAAATTGCCCAGTCTAACCACTGCCCCAGCTCTCTCACGGGCTTCCACTGAGAACGACGTTATTCCGTCATTCAGCTCTGAACAGTTTGGGAGAGCAAATGGAAATCCCATTGCTTGATCAACGAACAGAAGCAAAAACCAAACCAGTACAAAACCAATTCAAGTCTTCAAGAGATCAAAAAGTGCAGCCATCCGGTGCCTGCTGAACGATGGCGGTGGAAACGAAGCCTCCGGCTTGCAGTGGACAGGTCGGTGCGTGCCAGAGCCGGCACCGGAGCAACACCTGCACGGGGAGGGGGGAGAGGGGACGCAGAGCGAGGGAAGAGGGGCGAGGGCGGCCACGAGCCCCACGGCAGAGGCCTCCCGCTGCTGAGCGGCAGCCCCGTGCCCCAAGGTGCCTCGCGAGCCAGAAGATGTAGATATATTGTCCAACCCAGTAGGGCTCAACACTGAAGCTTAAAGAAGCTGATTAATCCAAACTAATTAAGAGCATCAAATGAGAGAACGTTACAAAATGAACAAAGTCTTAGCACTTAAGGAAAAGGGAGGGGAGGGGGGAAAAAAAAAAGACTTG